GAATACCGCATGAAAGTGCACATTTTTGGCAACAGCCCATTGCCTGCTGTTGCAATCTATGGACTTAAGCTATCTGCCCAGGATGGTGAAAAAGACTATGGGCAAGATGTTAGACAGTACATTGAGAGAGACTTTTATGTAGATGATGGCCTGAAGTCACTTCCATCGCCTGAGGCTGCAATCAGTCTACTTAAGAGGACCCAAAGCACACTTGCCTGTTCAAACCTTAAGTTGCATAAGATAGCTTCAAACAGCAAGGCTGTTATGGAGGCCTTCCCTTCTCAAGATCACGCCAGTGATTTGAAAGACCTAGACTTGGCAACAGACTTGCTACCCATGTAGTGCAGCCTAGGACTCAGTTGGGATCTCACGTCTGACACCCTCACCTTTCACAAGGCGAGGTGTCTTGTCTACCACAAACAGTCTGTATGACCCACTCAGGTTTGCAGCACCTGTGACCATCCAAGACCGTAAAGGACTGTTGAAAGTAGGAGGGCGCATTTCCAACGCAAGACTTGAAAGTGTTGAAAGCAATCCAGTAGCGATCCCAAGTCACCATATTGCTTCACAGCTTGTGGAACATTACCACGTACAGACCAAACACCAAGGGCATTTGTTCACAGAGGGAGCCTTACGTGCAACCGGACTCTGCATAATGGGAACCAAGAGACTCGTAAGTACAATTATTTTCAAATGCATCACTTGCCATAAGCTTTGTGGCATGTTTCAAACTCAGAAAATGGCTAACCTCCCTGCAGACCGACTCAGCACAGAACCTCCCTTCACAAATGTCGGTCTCGATGTGTTTGGGCCCTGGGCTGTCATCACACGGCAAACTAGAGGAGGCAGTGCTAACAGCAAACGTTGGGCTGTCATGTTCACTTGCATGTGCACCAGAGCTGTACACATAGAAGTCATTGAGCGCCTAGACACATCCAGCTTTATAAATGCCCTCAGACGCTTCACTTCGATTAGAGGCCCTGTCAAACATATTTGCTCTGATAGAGGTACCAACTTTGTCGGAGCTTGCAAAGAATTGAATATCATTTCAAACCTTGACAAAGAACATGTAGAGAGACACCTTTCAGAACAAGGTTGTATATGGACATTTAACCCGCCACATGCTTCCCATATGGGAGGTGCTAAGGAGCGCATGATCGGCATAGCTAGAAGAATCCTAGACTCAATATTTCTACAGTTAGGAACTTCAAAGCTCACACATGAGACACTGATGACCTTCATGGCTGAAGTAGTGGCTATAATAAATGCCAGACGCCTGACGTCAATACCCAATGACCCAGAAGATCCTTTCTCTCGCTCACCCCTTCCACTTTGCTTACCCAGAAAGTTGGAGTAACCACAGCTCCTCCAATCAACCTTGACACTAAAGACCTATACAGATGCCAGTGGAGATGAGTGCAAGCCATGGCGGACATCTTCTGGAATAGGTGGAGGAAGTAGTACCTATCCAGTCTACAGATTAGACACAAATGGCAAGCCAGCAAGTCCAACTTGGAACCTGGAACCATTGTTCTCGTGAAAGACCCTCAGTCAAGGAGAAACGAATAGCCTTTGGGCCTGATAACCCAAGTGTTTCCAAGTGAAGATGGGAAAGTCAGGAAAGTTGAGGTTAAGATCATTAGGCAAGACGAGTCTAAACTTTTCCTCAGACCTGTGTCTGACCTAATTGTACTACTCTCCCCAGAAGGACCATCATTGTTGGCATCCACTGGATACCAGACGGGGAGTGTCATGCCTTCAGCATATTTTTATGTTATGTCCATTGTCAGTTTATTATGCTATGGATTGTAAGGTAAAGTGTAATATTGCCATCTAGTGGCTCTTTTGTATCACAGTTTTATAGATTAGTTTCTGTAGTTACATCGCCATCTAGTGGTTCTTTTGTATTACAGTTTTATAGATTAGTTTCTGTAGTTACAGATTTTGTTGCTTAAAGGCCACCGTAGTTTTCCCATCATCCTATGGGCTTCACCATGAGGTCTTAGAGACATTTCCTGGCAGCCATCTTTACATCTCCTCCAGAGGACTTCACACGTGTTCAGCTGCAATTCTGTTGTCAGCTTATCGGAAACATCGCCGGTATGTTTAAAAACCCCTTTCTAGCTAGACTAGTGTGTCAGGGCTGTATATTTTGTAGATTGTATATACTAATTGAATGTTATTTCTTTCATTTGTAGTTTTACTCTAACTTCCCTGCAATAAAAGTTGAAAAGAGGACCTAGCGCCTGCATCAATGAGTTGTTAAGGGAGAAGGGTTATCTGTCTGCCTGATTATACCCGCATCACGTATAGCTGAGGCAGCACAATATATATATATATATATATATATATATCCCCCAAAAGGATATAAATCACTTTGTGTGTATCACATGCCTTTGCAAACCCTGTTATTATAGTAACATCATCACTGTGCTGCACATAGCCTGTGCAGTGAGCAGAGCTACACTGCTCAACATCTGTAGCCGCTACAGGCTGCCTGCAGAACACTAGGGTAGGGAGCAGAGACAAGACCAGAAACCCTACAAAAAAAGGAGGATAGCAGTGTCTGGTCTATATCACAGAACAATCCCTTACAAAGGTAACATTTTACACTGGATTACCACACAGAAATACACAAGAAGTATAAAAATACATTCCTTTGGTATTTAGACAATATTTGCTTATGCCATACTTCAGCATTAAAGTGCATCCAAACCACAAAATAATAATTGTTAGTAATTGTAGCTTTTAGCAAGCAAGAGCACTTGTGTTAGTTGACCATAGGATGGAACTGAAGAAGTACTTATATCCAGATGTACCAGGATGAATTGTTGGAGATATGTGCCATCAGAGTATATATTCAGAGATCAAATTAGTTATAAAAGGATTTATTAAACAAACATAGATCCAAATCCACAGTATAAAATATAATAAAAGGTGATTTTATATTTTTTTATTATAATATATAATAATAGTTTTGGACAGAGTGGAGAAGAGTTACAACATCTGTTGTGTTTGTATTTCTGTCCCTGCTCCTGTTTTCGAGATTCACCCCTCTATTTGTCCTGTTTTTACCATTATAATTGAAAGTGAAAGTAAAAGAAAATTACAAATTTTGTGTTATCCCCAGAAAAGTAATAGAGGGAAAATCGTCCAATGGGGGTACTAGTTCTGGTGACCCGAGGTCCTCCAAGGGATTCCCTTTATTTTCAGGGACTTCCTCTAATTTTCTGTTGTGGCTAAGGCACAGGAAGTGAAGGTAAATCTCCCCAATGGGTAAAAAAAAATCAGGCAGGGGATATAACCCTCCATTACTCTATCCAAAATGGAGTTCTACTTTAACCGCTTGCCGCCCTGCCACTGTGTATATACGTGTGCACGGCGGCAGTGGAGCGCAAAAGCACGTTTTAAAACGTGCTCCGCGCTCCCAACACATTCGCGGGTAGGAGGCGCACGCTCCCGCCGACCCGCGGGTGATCCGATTCGATCCAGGAGGGATCAATCATTAGATTTCAACCAGTGATTTCTGGTTGAAATCCGATGATCGGTCACTGTCCTATCCTGTCCTGTGTTGATATTTACACAGGACAGGATATGATGTCATTCTTCTCTGCCTGTACACATTCCGTTCCAGACAGAGAAGAAGAGACATTTAAACGTGAGTAAAACAGCACACTGACAGTTAGAACACAGTCTAGGACACATTTAACCCCCTGATTGCCCCCCCCAGTTAACCCCTTCACTGCCCTGTCACCAGTGTCACTGATCAGTGAAGCGATTTTTATTGATCACTGTATCAGTGTCGCTGGCGACTTCCAATAGTGCTAACGCCCCTCCCAGATAGCGCCAGTTTGCCTGCCAGTACACCAATAAAGCCATTTAACCCCTTAATTCCCCCCCCCCAGTTAACCCCTTCACTGCCCTGTCACCAGTGTCACTGATCAGTGAAGCGATTTTTACTGATCACTGTATCAGTGTCGCTGGCGACTTCCGATAGTGTTAGTGCCCCCTCCCAGATAGTGCCAGATTGCCCACTAATACACCAGTAGTCCCGTCTAACCCCTTGATCGCCCCCCCCCCGAGTTGACCCCTTCACTGCCCTGTCACCAGTGTCACTGATCAGTGAACCAATTTTTACTGATCATTGTATCAGTGTCACTGGTGACTTCCGTTAGTGTTAGCGCCCCTCCCAGATAGCGCCAGATTGCCCGCTTATACACCAGTGATCCCGTCTAACCCCTTGATCGCCCCCCCTTCCCCCCTGAGTTGACCCCTTCACTGCCCTGTCACCAGTGTCACTGATCAGTGAACCAATTTTTACTGATCACTGTATCAGTGTCGCTGGCGACTTCCAATAGTGTTAGCGCCCCTCCCAGATAGTGCCAGTTTACCCGCCAGTACATCAGTAATCCCATTTAACCCCTTGATCGCCCCCCACCCCACCCCCAGTTAACCCCTTCACTGCCCTGTCACCAGTGTCATTGATTACAGTGAACAGATTTTTACTGATCACTGTATTAGTGTCACTGGTGACTTCCGATAGTTTTAGCGCCCCTCCCAGATAGCACCAGTTTTGCCCGCTAGTACACAAATAATCACATTTGACCCCTTGATTGCCAGAAACACGCTTACTTGCACGCTAAACCTTCATTGCTAGTATAGTGTCTGATTGGATCAATATCTTTGATCAGATCAGCGCTATACCAGCATTCACATTACTTTAGTATCCCCAAAAACGCAGTGTTAGCGGGATCAGCCCCAACACCTGCCAGCACCTGCGTTTAGCCCCTACGCCCCCCCCTTCTCCCCCAGCAAGTGCAGTGTCAGTAGATAATCCTCACTTGATACATATTACACACAAAACCGCAGTGTTCACAGAATCAGGCCTGATATCTGTTAGCACTTGTCGGTAAATTTTTTTGTAGCGGTTCAAGCAGTCCCTGACAGCCAGGCGCTCTTTTTCCCGCTCGCACTAGGTACCTGTAAATTTAGTGGCCAAAATGTCTAAGCAAAGGTACTCTAGTGAAGAGGCCTATAGGATTCTGACCATGTCAAGTGAGAGCGAAGGGGAAGACTCACTGGCAGAACCAGGCTCAGAATACGAACCTATAGACAGCAGCGGCACCCTGACAGCTAGCTCAGACGACGAGGAAGTGGTACCTGCTAAGGTTGCTGAGGTGGTACAAATGCATGATGACTCTCATATGCAGCAGAGTGCCAGTACTAGTGCCGCAGTATCTTTTGGTGAACTGGCGAGCACCAGCGGCCTAGTACGTCCTGGTCGTAGGCATACCAGCACTGCAGTATCACTTGGTGACGTGGCGAGTCCCATAAGTGCAGTACAAGCTGGTGCGGTGGCGAGCACAAGTAGTGTCCCGCGGCCACCAAGAATTCGCAGACAGGCCCGTAGAGCCCCTAGTGTCCTTCCGGATGTGCTTGCAAATCCCGATTGGCAGCCCACAAATTCTGCAGCACCCGTACTTCCCCCATTCACTGCCCAACCCGGAATTCAGGTGGAAACAGCAAATTTAAATACTCCCCTTAATTGTTTTGAGCTGTTTTTCACAGAAGATCTTTATGCATTGATTGTGGATCAAAGCAATTTATATGCACGACAATTTATCGCCGCCAACCCAAATTCAAACCTTGCCAGACCATTCGCATGGAAACCCATTACGGTTTCCGAATTTAAAGTTTTTTTGGGCCTAACCCTCAACATGGGCATTAATGATAAAAATCAAATGCGGTTGTATTGGTCCACCGACCCTCTTGTTCACATGTCCGTGTTCTCTGCTGCCATGGCCAGGCATAGATATGAGACGATAAGGCGTTTTTATGCACTTCTACGACAACTCACTCAGTCGTCCTCGGGGGGGACCCTGAATTTGACCGGCTCCACAAAAATTCGGCCCCTCGTAAATCACTTTAACCAAAAATTTGCAGATGTGTATACTCCCCAGAAAAACATCTGCATCGATGAGTCCCTCATTCAATATTCTGGCCGCCTTGTAATCAAACAATATCTCCCCAGCAAGCGTGCCAGATATGGGATCAAGATGTATAAGACCTGTGAGAGGGCAACAGGCTATACATGTAAGTTTCGGATTTACGAGGGAAAAGATAGTTACTTGGAGCCCCCCGGATGCCCAGACTACATGGGGAGCAGTGGCAAGATAGTTTGGGACTTGGCGTCATCCTATTTCCATATGGGGGTACCACTTATACGTGGACAATTTTTATTCAAGCGTGCCACTATTTAGACATTTGTTCAATTTGGGAATTTGCACATGTGGCACTGTGCGATCTAATCGCCGAGGCTTCCCCCAACGGCTTGTAAATACCCGTCTTAAAAAGGGGGGGAAAAAGCCTGCTTGAGAAATGAAGAATTGCTCGCAGTGAAGTGGAAGGACAAACGGGATGTTTACCTCCTGTCTTCCATTCACGCAGATACAACCGTCCAAATTACCACGGCAGCTGGTGTTGTTGAGAAGCCCCTCTGTGTCCACGATTATAACCTTAACATGGGAGGGGTGGACTTCAATGACCAGATGATGCAGCCGTACTTAGTTTCCCGAAAATCCAAACGCTGGTACATAAAAGTGTCAGTTTATTTATTTCAATTGGCTGTATATAACGCTTTTGTTCTCTATAAAGCAACTGGACATAGTGGATCATACCTAAATTTCCAGTTAGAGAACATCAGGGCCCTTTTGTATCCATAAGGTGCTGCGCCCCAAATCCCTCTCCCAGATGCAGTTAGCCGTCTGCATGAGAGACATTTTCCCGATACCATTCCTGGTACCCCAACCCAAAGAAGACCCCAAAAAAGATGTCGTGTCTGCAGCAAACGTGGAATTAGGCGTGACAGCCGCTATTGTTGTCCCTCCTGTCCTGGCCAACCTGGCCTCTGCATCAAGCCCTGCTTCCGCCTCTACCATACACTAGTGAACTATTAGTATAGGGTACAGCATGGCACAGATCAGGGCACATTTACACAGGGTCTCGAAAGATGTTAGGTAGTCAGAAAACTGGCTATCGCATTTGGAGAGACCCTACAAGCTGTTTAAAATGTTTGAAGTTTGAAAAAAAAAAAGTTAAAAAAAATAAAAATAAATAAATAAAAGTACAAATACCCCCCAAAAAAAATAAAAAAATGTAAAAAAACAAAAATAGTTATAGTTTTTTTTTGTTGTTGTCATTTTTGTGATTGTTCGACTTTCACTGGTTTATTGTTGTTTTATTGTTAACCATTTCTGTTTGCAGGAATGCTTTTTCAGCTGCAGCGCTGACCTGTTTATTCTGACAGCAACAGGAACTTGCTCTCAGAATAGACATAAGTCAGCGTGGGCAGCGCTGTTGGGATGAGATTTTTCATCCGCAGTTATAAAAAAACAGAATATATGCCACAAAAGCATGGGGGCCTGGGGTGGCCAGTGGGTGGATGGCCCTATGCTTCGGCATATATATTTTATATTTGTTGGCACATTTCATGTCTGCCCACCATTAGAAGTGGGTGGATTGAGGGAGGTTTCTAATGGTGGGCATACCACCACACACTTTTCCTTATAAAGTTGTTTTATTGAGTTTGTTTTATTGTTAACCATTGTTGATTTCTTTGCAGAACGTCAAACTGCAGCACTGACCTGTTTATTCTGACAGCAACAGGGTCTTGCTTTCAGAATAGACATAAGTAGGTGTGTGCAGTGCTGTCGGATGAGATTTTTCATCTGCAGTTAAAAAAAAAAGTGAATATATGCCAAAGCATGGGGGCCTGGGGTGGCCAGTGGGTGGATGGCCCCTATGCTTCGGCATATATATTTTATATTTGTTGGCACATTTCATATGTGCCCACCATTAGAAGTGGGTGGATTGAGGGAGGTTTCTAATGGTGGGCATACCACCACACACTTTTCCTTATAAAGTTGTTTTTTGAGTTGAGTTAATGTTTTATTGTTAACCATTGTTGATTTCTTTGCAGGAACGTCAAACTGCAGCACTGACCTGTTTATTTCTGACAGCAACAGGGTCTTGCTTTCAGAAGAAGACATAAGTAGGTGTGTGCAGTGCTGTCGGATGAGATTTTTCATCCGCAGTTAAAAAAAAGAGAATATATGCCAAAGCATGGGGGCCTGGGGTGGCCAGTGGGTGGATGGCCCCTATGCTTCGGCATATATATTTTTATATTTGTTGGCACATTTCATATGTGCCCACCATTAGAAGTGGGTGGATTGAGGAGTTTTCTAATGGTGGGCATACCACCACACACTTTTCCTTATAAAGTTGCTTTATTGAGTTTTTTATGTTTTATTGTTAACCATTGTTGATTTTATCTTTGCAGGAACGTCAAACTGCAGCACTGACCTGTTTATTCTGACAGCAACAGGGTCTTGCTTTCCGAATAGACATAAGTAGGTGTGTGCAGTGCTGTCGGATGAGATTTTTCATCCGCAGTTAAAAAAAAAAGAATATATGCCAAAGCATGGGGGCCTGGGGTGACCAGTGGGTGGATGGCCCCCATGCTTCGGCATATATATTTTATATTTGTTGGCACATTTCATATGTGCCCACCATTAGAAGTGGGTGGATTGAGGGGAGGTTTCTAATGGTGGGCATACCACACACTTTTTCTGGCAGAGATTTCTTCTCTTTTTTTTCATTCAGCCCACAGGCTGCATAAAGAAAAAAAGAGCATAGCATATACACCCAACAAGGACCAGTGACGTACTGGTACATCACTGGACTTTGAATGGTTATACCAGGGTGATGCATTTTTTTTTCAGCCGGCAATGGTTAATAAAAGCTGCAGAATTGCCTTTACAAGCAGCGGGAGAAAATGCCCCCTCTCCCCCTCCCTGAGATAGCATTAAAAGTGATTAAAAAAAAAAAAAAAAATAAAGGGACAGTGTAAAAATAATTAAATAAATCAGAAAAAAAAGAAAAAAAAAAAAAAAAAAAAAGGACCCTCGCCCATCCGCGCACGCACAGACACACCTGCGGTCGTGAGAGCGTGACCCTTTGCCAGTATGGAAACAGCGATTGCACCATGCATGTGAGGTATCGCCACGAACGTCAGATCAAGGGCAGTAATTATAGCTCTAGACCTCCTCTGTAAATCTAAATGGTAGCCTGTAAAGGCTTTTAAAGCGTTGCCTATAGATATTAAAAATGTATGCAGTTTGTCGCCATTGCACAGGGCATGCGTAATTTTAAAGCATGTCATGTTTGGTATCTATTTACTCAGCATAGCATCATCTTTTATATCATACCAAATAATTGGCCAATATATTGTTTTTTTGTGCATTAAAATTAAAAAAAGTGTATATTTTTCAAAAAAATTGCGTTTGAAAAATCGCTGTGTAAGTAATATGTGAGATAAAAAATTGCACCACCCACCATTTTATTTACTAGGGTGTCTGCTCTAAGAAAATATATAATGTTTGGGGGTTCACTTTAATTTCCTAGCAAAAATACAGATTTTTTTTAATGTGAACAAAAAGTGTCAGAAAAGGCTTGGTCTTCAGGTGGTTAGAAGAGTGAGTGATGTGTGGCATAAACCTCTAATGCTGGGCATAAAATGCCCCCACCCCTCAAAATGACCCCTTTTGGAAAGTAGACACCCCAAACTATTTGCTGAGAGGCATGTTGAATCAATAGAAGAATTTTTTTTTACCACAAGTTTTTGGAAAATGAAGAAAGAAAATAAAAATATATTTTTTCTTTTCTTTTTTATATTTCAAAACCTTGTGAGAAAAAATTAGATCTGCAAAATACTTACCATGCCTCTTTTTAAATTCCTTGGAGTGTCTACTTTCCAAAAAGGGGTCATTTGGGGGGGTTTGGTGCTATCCTGGCATTACAGGGCCTCCAAAAACTGTGATAGGTAGTGGGGAAGTGAAATGAAGAAGTTACGCACCTTCAGGCTTTCAAAGTGCTCATTGGATTTCAGGCTCCTGTATGTGGCTAGGCTCCCAAAAAGTGTCACATGTGTGGTATCCTCATACTCGGTAGAAGTAGCAGAATGTATTTTGGGGTATAATTCCACATATACCCATGGCTTGTGCAAGAAATAAATCATTTAAATGACAATTTTGTGTAAAAAAAAAAAAAAAAAAAAAAAAAAAAACGTTTTTGTCATTTTCCAGAAACTTGTGGAAAAAAAAATAAATCTTCCATGGACACAATGGCCCTGATTCACTATTGGGCGTGGGCGCATATTTATGGGCTTAAGCCCAATTTTCATGGGCGTCCGTCTATTTTTTACCCTGCAACCTAATTCACTATTGACCAGAGCCCATAAGCAGATGCCCAATCTAATTCACAAAAAGACACACGCCCGAATCAGACTCACAAAAGCAGACTTGCTAAGAAGCACGTCTAACACCATGAAAAAATCACTGCAGAGACATGTTCACTTAGAAATTTGCTTTGCCAAATATCAGGACTTCACTT